TGCTACCTTAATACTAAACCTATAAATATATGCACATAAATCTATTTCCCCATCATCATATATAAATATATTTATATATGTATATGCTTATATTTAGATCTCTAAAAATGCCATTTGCCTCCTAGTTATTACCTCTATTTCCTTTTGTCCCACTATCATGCTCAGCCTTCATTTGGGTTTCAGTAATTTCTCTCTGTTACATTGCCCTTGATCAAGCCCTACCAGGCCTCCTACACTTTCCTTGCCACTGATTTGGATCACTTGTTGTTCCCTTGTCCCTGGGATTGTTAACACCCACTTCCTTTTCCCCACCTTCCCCTCTCCCATGCCCCCCCCCACAAGTGTCAGTCCTGTTGTTTCTACTCCAGATTATTTATCCCGCCTATGTTATTTAGATAGACTTGCAGAGATAATAATAAGCACATAAAACAAGACAGAGCAAAACAAAGCAACAAAAGAAAACAAAACAACAACAACAACAAACCAATGATAGAAAAAAAAAACCCTGTAAATAGTTCAAGGTCTATTTGTTGACGTTTAGGAGTGTTTTCCAGTCGAGTCTGATGGGGGTGCCACGCCCTGGCCCCAAAGTCTTTATTTTTGGTATTCCCGGGGGACTTCGTTGCTCTGCTCTCATTGCTGTTCTGTTGCACACTCTTAGTGTGCCTTGAAGTGATGGGGTCAGATCGGGCGCAATTCCCTCACTGTGTCTCCAGTGTTGTCCCCATAGCGCTTACATCCAATATTGGCCATCCTGATTTTGACCTGTATTATTTTCCATTGAGTGTAGTTTTGTAAGCATTCTCTGTAGTCAGATTCACTTTACATGTCACTATCAGGTAATCTTTATATATTACTGCTCCATTTTTTTGGTCCCATTACTATCACTTAAAAAGACAAACAAATATAATAAGAATTTATAATTTATCAAGGGGTCTCAAGGGTGGGAGAGGGGAGGGAGGCGAAAAAGGAGCTGATACCAAGGGCTCAATAGAAAGTAAATGTTCAGAAAACAATGATGGCAACATACGTACAAATACGCTTGATACAATTGATGTATGGATTGTTATAAGAGCTGTAAGAGTCCCCAATAAAATGACCTTTTAATAATAAAAAGAAAGACAAACTGTTTCGATATTGGCACGTGGTAGGTATTTAATCATTTCTTGCATCATCGAATGTACTTTGGAGAGTAGTGGGAGAGTCTGGGAATGGAGATTGGGACAATATTATGAATGCCGTGGAGAACCAGAGTGAGGATACTGTTTCCCCAAGACCACCCCCAGGTTTGATGATGAGTAGGAGAACTTGTAGGACTCACAACTATGATTTATTACACCAAAAGGATACAAAGTAGACTAGCAAAGGAAAGGTGTATGGTGCAAAGTCTGCAGGGAAGTAGGCACAAGCTTCTGAGTCCTCTTCCAATGTAGTCATGGTGCTGTTGTGCTTGTTAGGTGCCATTGACACATAGCCACCCTGTGCCCCAGAAGGAAACACCCATCAGTCCTGGGCCATCCTCCAGTTGTTATGTGGGAGCCCATTGTTGCAGCCACGGCGTCTGTCTGTCTTGTCGAGGGTCTTCTTCTTTCCTGCTCCTTTACTTTACCACACATGATGTCCTTCTCCAGCAAATGGACTCTCCTGAAAACATGTCCAGAGTGTGTGAGACCAAGTCTTGCCATCCTGGCTTCTAAGTAGCTGCTGGCTATACTTTTTCCAAGAGAGATTTCTTTGTCTTTTTGGCAGTCCGTGGTACTTTCGATGTTCTTTGCCTGCACCATAACTCTAATGCATCGATTCTTTGCTTTTCCTTATTCAGTGTCCAACTTTCACATGCATAGGATAGGAGGCAATTGAAAATACCATGGCTTGTGTCAGGCTCAAAGAAATCTCCTTGCTTTTCAGCACTTTAAAAAGGTCTTGTGCAACAGATGTACCCAATTCGAGGCATAGTTTGACCTCTTGACTGCTGCTTCCATGAGTATTGATTGTGGAGCCAAGCAAGAGGAAATCCTTGACAACTTCAATCTTTTTTTTGGCTTATCATGATGTGAGGGTTTCGTTTTCCCTTGCATTGCATTTTAATCCACACGGAAGGCTGCAATCATTGGTGATCATCAGTAAGAGCTTCAAGTCCTCACTTTTAGCAAGCAGGGTTGTGTCATCTGCATGTTCCGGTTGTTAATAAGCCTTCCTCCAACCCAATGTCACATTCATCTTCATATCATCCAGCTTCTCTGAGGATCTGCTCAGCATACAGATTGAATACATATGGGGAGAGGATTCAACCCTCAGGCACACCTGTCTTGATTTTTAAACCATGCCGTCTGCCCCTGTAGCGTTTGCACACCTGCCTCAGGATCCGTGCACAAGCCCCACGGGAGCACCCTGGGGTGATCTGGAAGCCTCACATCTCCCAAGGCCATCCAGAGTGTAGGCATGCTGCAGACCCCTTATTCCTCTAGGGACTAATTCTGACAATAGGGGTGGAAAGCTGTCTGCCGAGGAAGCTCATCAGAGGCTTAGCGCCCAAGATTTGTATGGGAGGCAGGCTTGCAGATCTCCTCTGCCTAACATGTACTGAAATTCCAGATTTGCAGAAGACAAGTAGATGTTTTATATAACCCACTTTGCTGGTACATTGAGGAAACAATTTAAGCTCATGAGCCACCCCTACCCTTTCTGGGAATGATGGGAACCCTCCCCAACCTTGCAAATTGGACTTTCTAAGTAGAGCAGCCTCAGCACACTAGCCATCCTCTCTGCCATCCAATAGGACAGGGAAGTGGCCTCCGGGGCTGCTTGAGTCACAGGGGTGGTGGTGGTGTGAGGGTGGGATTGAAGGGAATGCCAAGAGGGTGGGGCTTTGTGCCTTCCCTGTCTCATTTTCCTCATTAGTAAATTTAATGTCCTGTGGAAGATTTTATATGAAAAAAAAATGCTGCTGTTAGGGGATAAAAAGGAAAAGGAAATTACTTCTTGAAACAGCGAAATGGATTTTAAAGAGTGACAAAAAAGATAACATTTGAATTTCAGCAAGAACATCCCTGTCGTTTGTGGAAGATGTATCTGCAGCTGGGCCGGTGTTGCAGGGCTGTTCTTGGCAGCTCAGCACTGCTGGGGAAGCAGCCTCCATCTTTCTGCCTTGCTCAGCATCCTGCATGGCTTGTGCGTCTCGTTGCCCCATTGCTTTTCTGGCTGCTGTCATCACGGCGTGATTCCACTCAGAGGGAGAGGGTGGGGAGAGAGAAGAGAGGACACCCCCTTTCTCTTTAAGGATTCAGGACTGCACACATTTCAGGACTGCACACATTTCTGCTTCTATCTCTGTCAGAACCTGGCCACAGGACCATACGGAGCTGCAAGAGAGTCGAGAAAATGTCATAGTTAACTGGGCAGCCATGTGCTCAGCCATTTCTGATCCAAAAAGGGAGGAGAGATATTGGAAGATAATCCTGCTCCATCCTGAGCATTGGTATATTTAATGATTTTTTTTCCCTCCCTTAGGAAAAAGGTGTAAGTCACGTTGTGACGGTTAATTTCCTTCCTAGGAAGCCATTTTCTTATTATTGCAGTGAAAGAAATGAAAGGCTCTCAAAGTGCCTTTGAGACGTCTTTGTCTAAAAATGTGCCAGGTTGCTGCTCTTTCTTGTTGCTTCTTAAACAGAGAGAAACCCACCGGCTCAGTGAGCCTGTCCCAGATAATGAATGGGATTGTGATTGGAATCACCATGCACAATAACTTCCAACCCAGGTGGTCATGAGCTCGTCGAGGCCCTATGAACAACAGAACACAGCCTGCCCAGTCCTGCCCCATCCTCACAATGGTTCTGCTTGGGCCCATTGTTGCAGGCACCGTGTCAACCAGTCTCACTGAAGGCCTTCCTGTTTTACTCTGACCCTACTTTACTCAGCATGGTATCTTTCGGGGACTGGTTCCTTCTGCTAACATACCCAACGTATGCAAGATGAAGTCTCACCATCCTCACGTCTAGGGAGCATTCTGGCTGTATTTCTCCCAATGGGTGAGCCACCATGCCCCCAGGGCCCCTGTTCTTCTGGCAGTTACAGCAATTTCTGTTTTCTTCAACACCATCATTCGCATGCTCCGTGTTTTGAAACTTGGTACAGATTTGCATGATGTCTTGGCCAATGTTGACCCTAGCCACAATGTCCTGTGGTTTTCCAAAGGCACCTCAAGTCCTAGTCTGGAGCTTAAATTAAGGACAGCAGACATTAGCTGGATCAGAGATATCAAAGAACTGGAAAGGGCTGCCTCCGAGGCCCCTTAGGGAACTTTACATATGCTAACAGGCCGTGTACACCACCAAGGAGACTGCTCTTTGCAGCCATTGCACGGCAGCTTCTACAGGACAGAGGGCAGTTAACCTAATTATGTCAAGGGCCAAGTTCAAGTTCTCTGGGCTCCAAAAGATCCACATCTCCAAGAAGTGGGACTTTACCAAGTTTAATGTTGATGAGTTTGAGACATGGTAGCTGAGAAGCACCTCATCCCAGATGGTTGTGGAGTGTAATATATCCCTAATCATGGCCCCTTGGACAGGGTAGCCCTGTGCCCTGCCTGAGCTGGGCCCACCAATAAATAAATCAAATGACGTATTGCCTTGGGCAAATCTGCTGCACAAGACTGCTTTAAAGTGTTTAAAGTGCGAGGAAGTTACTTTGAGGTTTAATGTGCGCCTCGCCCAAACCCTAGAAGTTTCAGTTGCCTAATACACATGTGAAAGTTGGACATTGTAAGATATAGCGTGTGGGGGTCTTAAAAGCTTGAAGGTAAACAAGCGGCCATCTAGCTCAGAAGCAACAAAGCCCACATGGAAGAACAAATCAGCCTGTGTGATCACGAGGTGCCGAAGGGATCAGTTATCTGGGGTCAAAGAACAAAAAA